TCCTTCTAAGAACCAAGACTGGCCAGAAAGAAAATAGCAAGAAAAACATGAAATAAACAAGTAAAAGAATCAGCAGACTTAAAGAGGAAAGAAGAAATTGGAAGTGAGTTCATTTGCCTCCAATATCCTATGAAATCGTGTAATGATGAGACTGCAGGGGGTTATGAGGGCAAAACAAAAATAAGCTACAAAATTACCAGGATTGAGGACATTGTAGTATGACATTAAGAGAAGGGATCATGCAGGACTGCTGGGAATCTACAAAAGAGTGTAATGGGAACTGCTGTGTAGTGTTCGCAGCAGGATGGTTCAGAGGGTTTGATACAGAAAATACTCCAGGCTTCAAAGACTGCACTGCCAGCAGAATGAAAATTATGAAAAGAGCTTTCTTAATGAATGATGTTTAGAAAGCCATATGCACAATGTTAGGAAGACAGAGTGCCAAAGAGGCTAGACAAGGAGAAAGACTAGAAAAGGAAATGTCTCTCCTTTCCAGCAAAAACTAGTTGATTTCACTCAAATATTCCAAGGAGGTAATGACCTAAATTTAAATAAACAGGTGTTAACTTGTGATAAAAGCGAATTCATAAAAAGTTCCTTCTGAACTACTAAATTATGATGTAAATTCTAAGTAAAAAATAATTTGTTAAGGTCAATTAGAAGAAGAGTGTGGCTGGTTGGGATGGGAAAATAAAATGAATCAATTGATACAAGCAGAAACACATTGAAGAATAGCATTAGGAGTGAGGTAGTAGTAAGGGAAACAGGATATGTCATTTCACATATGGCAAAACTCTTTTGGGAAAGACTGTAGTGATTCATGATCTCTCACAGGCATAAGGTTTCCCATTAATTCGTGTCCCTTCCAATATCTGGTGTTTCAGGCTTCTTAATTTTTGCCACTTATGCAAACTACCAAGTGAGTACGTTGTAGAGAAGAATATCATTTTACTATTTGTTTCTAGGACCTCTCGTTTGAATCAGAGTCCAGTTTGAAAAAAAAAAAAAAAAAAACACTAAGTAAAACAGAAGTGAAGTCGCCTCCATTTGAACCCAGATACGTTGTTGTGGTTTTCATTTTTAATTTCAGGTCTTCTTCTTCCCCCACCCACTTTTCCATTCTTCTGCATTGCCCTCCTACTATGCCAGATTTTCTGTTGAACAACAGAATGCTAAATCACATTTACTTTCAACTAGCATGGGAAAAAAGCAATGAGAATTCCAAAACATAACAGCACAATTTTATTGCACAAAAATGAGAATAACTGTTCTCAGTTGGGAGTCCACAACTAATTTGGAGAAGGGAAAACATACAGTATAAGTTATCAATAAACATTTGTGCTAATGAGTAAAAGAATGACAAAAGAAAAAATGAGAAAACTTTTAAATGATAAAAGCAATAATGAAATACATTATGATAATAATGCACATTGATTCTTCTAATTACAAAAATTTAAATTCTAGACTTAAGAAGTAATAAATCCAAATAAAGCAAAGGCTGAAGTATATAAACTAAAGTTAAAAAGTACAAGAATACTAAAAGCCTTATGGTTTGAAATTCCACAAGCCCAGTATTCTATAATGAAATTCTTTAATTGGTTTGAGAAGTAAGTTGAAGTAAGTTGAAATTTGTGTTAAGGGCTAATTTAAAGTCTATAATCATCATCTACTGATCAAAGAATTAACTTACCTTACAGGCCACATGATATACCTATCAATTCCATCAAGAGATATATAAAGAAAGAATGAATGATATACTAGATATACTATTTATATCATGCAACAAATCTCCTCTAGTTATTATCAATAATAAATTAAAATTCTGAATGAAAGTAGAAACCAAATAAGTAGACCAGTGGGAGTACTATCAAGTCTTGAAACAACTCTCTACCAAAGTAACATAAATATTACACTAAAAAAAGACTGTCAAGAACTATAATACATTAAACTCTACCAGTCTTCTTTCAAATGTGAAAAACAGTATAACATATTTTTCACTTACTTTATGTTAAAAACGTTCTATAAGAAAAAGCTCTTGAAAAACAGTTATTGGCAACACCATTAAATAGCCTCCATAGGGTTACTTCTATACATGAAACAGATGTGGGCTGGAGATGTGGCTCAGCGGTAGCGCGCTTGCCTGGCATGCGTGCGGCCCGGGTTCGATCCCCAGCACCACATACCAACAAAGATGTTGTGTCCGCCGAGAACTAAAAAATAAATATTAAAAATTCTCTCTCTCTCTCTCTCTCTCTCTCTCTCTCTCCTCTCTCACTCTCTCTTTAAAAAAAAAAAAAGAAACAGATGTAAGCATAAAGATTCCATTTATTCAAATTATAGCAGTAAATTATGGCATTAAGTTTAGAAGATGCCTACAATGATAAAAGTGTTTTCTCATTTTCCTAACAATTAAAAACATTAAGTAGAAATCAATTGTAATTGCAGAAAAGAGTGAATACTAACTACCAAAGTCAGTTAATATACATGAAGAGCACCATCTAAGGGAAATTTTGCATGTTCTAATATATCTATTATAAATATGTGTGAGTGTGTGTGTGTGTGTATACACACTCTATTAACTAAACCAATGGAGAAAGTCATAATTGTCTTAATCCTGTAATTTTAAATAAACTTACTTGCTACAATGTTTGTTACAATAGATTTCTTAAATATCATTAAATTTTTCATTGTATGAGAGTGGTATTTCTTATTTTAATTTATACATTTATGTTTTTATATTCAAAACTAACAAGGGAAGGTAATCTCGTGGAAAACAATGGTTACCTAAATAAGAGATTTGAATTTAAATACTCATAAGGCTATCAAATCACTATCTTGTTTAATGAGAAAGTAGAAAGTTCCAGTACTGAACTGCTTAATTCCGTAGCTTTCATTTAACTATTATTCCAAATGCCTTAAATGTTACAGGAGTTATCTTAGAAGGTTAATGTGTTATTATGAAATATACTTAACTTTTAGTGAACCCACAAGTTCCTATTCTTTTATATGAAAATAAAGCAAAGTATATAATGGTTCTTTACAGAGAAAACATACAAATAAAATTATATTAGTTATCTACATCCAAAAATTCCATTTCTAAATTGTGATCACAAACATGTAACAGTAAAGTTACCACCTTAATATTTTTAAGTGTACAATAGTGTTAACTACTATATTTACATTGTTGGGAAAGTCATTAGTACTCTTATGAACAGTACTGAGAATCATCAAAAAATTAAAATTAGAAGTGCCATATGGTCCAAGAATCCCACTATTAGAATTTCTAAATAAATTAAATCAGTATGTTGTAGAGACATCTACATTCCCAAATTCATTGCAGCACTATACACAATATCAAGAAATGGATACAGCCCATGTATTCATCAACTAATGAATGGATAAAGAAAGTATGGCACGTATACACAATGGAACACTATTTGGCAATACAAAGGATGAAATCCTATCATTTGTGAGAATATGGATGGAACTGGAGGTAACTGTATTAACGGAAAAGAGCTATGCCCAGAAAGACAAATACTGCATAATGTTACTCATGTGGAGTAAAACAATGATAATCTTGTAGAAGCTCAGAGTAGAGTGGTGGATACCAAGGGCTGGGAAGAATACCATAGAGGAAAGGATGGGAGAGGTTGATCAATGGTGGAAAGTAAATTACAGAGGAGAAGGAAGTTCTGGTGTGCTACTGCCGGCGGCATGTCTATAGAGTAGAATTACATATCATACATTTCAAAAACGTAGAAGGATTTTGAGAAACAATAACTGAGGAGACAGACATGTTTAACCTGATTTTGACATTACACAATGTATTCATGTATCGAAATGTCTCATTACAATTTTTATATTTTCATGTAGCAGTTAAAAGTTTAATTTAAAAAACATATTAAATTTACCATCTTAATCTTCTTCAAGTATACAGTAAAGTACTGTTGACTACTGCATACATACTGTTATCTAACACATCAATAAAAACTTTTCAAAACAAAACAAATTTTGTATCCATTGAACAATTGCCCATGCCACCCACCATCACACTGAAAAGTACCTTTTTAAAGATGTTTCGGGCTTAGAAATTTTCTTAATGGAAGCATCATGAATTGTTGTTTTCCTATAATCATAGCATTATACTTAACTAAGACTTACAATAGTTTCACGTAAGTCACAAAATTATCTTTTTGTCTTTCTTTTTTTCCCTTTCACTCTGGGGATTAAACCCAGGGTGCTTTATCACTGAGCTACAAAGTCCTCTCTGAATTTCATTTTGAGATAGAATTCGACTAGATTGCTGAGGCTGACCTCAAACTTGTGATCCTACTGTCCCAAACAATAAGTCTGGGGGCGTAGCTGAAGCAGCTGGAATTATAGGCATGAACCACCATACCCTGCTCAAAATCATGTATCTAACTGCTATAATATCTTTCAGTTTTTGAAATTATATTCATTCAGAGACCTGCCAATTCTCAAAAGACAAAGAGTCATTAATGTAAATAAGAAAGACTGATTATGGGTCAGCAATTTTTTTCCCCATAAAGAGCCAGAGAGTAAATATTTCAGGCTTTGTGGGCCACATGGATTATGTTGCAATATAGCTCTACAAATGTAGCTCAAAAGAAGCAAGGAGCAATACACGAACAGATGAGCAGGAATGTGTATCAATAAAAATGCTTTTATAAAAACAGGTGGCAGGAGGAATGTCTGCAGAGGGCCATGGTATGCCAACCCCTGAGACAGACCAGACAGTGAGAAAAAGGGAGCAAAGAAAGAAAACCAAAATAAATATTTAGAAATAGCTATTCCCAAGAATAAGTGACTACTTCTAGAATCGATGTTTTCTGTTTTATTGACTAACTTTGATTGTGAGGGCCAAACAAATGGAATATTTTTTAATGACTTTTTTCAACACTGAACTATTGGCATGCAGTACATCAGCATAAATAATGGAAATGCTGATCTGCAGCAAGTTCTCATTGGACTTGACTTACCTTAGTAATGGGTGGAATATGACGGTAATGTTTCTGGCTCCAGGTTTGCAGACAAATTTTGTTCCTCCACCTTCAATTAAGTTGTCATCAGGACCCCCTTTCAGAAAAAAGAAAACAGAGATATTTAGTATGCTGAAACTTTTATAAATAAATAAGCCAAGTCTGTATACCTGAATATCACAATGTCCTAAAGACCATCTTTGAAAACTTTTATCTCCATATCTGCAAAATTATCTTAAGTAATTTGACCCAGTCTTCTCACTTGAATAAACTGTGAATTAGGATTTTGGAAAAAAAAAAAAAACACAGAACCTAGTAAGAATAAATGCAATATTTAAATCAATACCACAAGGTTATAATTATTTTCTGAAGGACAATGGCCAGTTAAGGTTAAAATTTAGGTCTCTGGTCAACTATGCCTATCTTAGGTGAGCACATGAAACTTCATGGGGAAGGAAGAAGTTCCATTCAAAATTGTCCCAGGTTGTAGGGACTGAAGCAGAGGTTTGTATAAACCTACCTGGTCATATTTCATCAGATCTAAGACCCCAATGATTATAGATACATTGTTATTTTATTTACTACTAGAAAAAAATTCTAAGAAAACTATATACAGCTTTCTTAAAAATCTTTATTTTTTTTCTTATGAAAAGCTTCTTTGGCTTTTAAAATAAATATATGTTTGCCATTACTCTCTTGTGCACATTCAATAGCAAATGTCAGAAAAACAAACCTTTGAGACAGTTTTGGGGGATTGAATCCAGGGCACACATTATCATTAAGCTATATTCCCAGCATTTTTTTTTTTTTTTAGCTCTTTATTTTATTTTGAGACAGGGTCTTGCTAAGTTGCCCTGCTATTATCAACTTGTAACTTCCTTACCTTCTTGAGTACCCATAATTATAGGTATGCACCATTGCTAGGCTGGTTAAAGCATTCTCAAAATTATATAATGTTCAAAGGCTTGTTCTTGGGGCTGGGGTTGTAGCTCAGTGGTAGAGCACTTGCCTACTATGTGCGAGGCACTGTCAATCCACATAAAAATAAATTTAAAAAATAGGTTTTGGGCTCATTACAGCTACTAAAAAAAAAAAAAAGACTTGTTCTTCCAAATAAATATGACTCAGAGTTGTCAATGTCCTTGTGTTCTAAACAGTGTCATTCTTGTCACCAAGAGTGTGGGTTTCTTAAAGAAATATGCCATGTTGCATCTTCTAGTATTTTGTTCCAAGCAGGTGATGAGCATTCTAAAAAGTTTAAAGTTGATTCTTTCTTGGTGCTATTAGAAAATTTAAATAGAAGCTTTTCCTATACCAACCATAATTCATATTACTTTATCAAATCATCCTTAATTGGTTAATTAACTGAAACATTGAAGCATCATGGTGCAACACATTCTGTGGCATCATAATTATTTTCTGAAGGACAATGGCCAGTTAGATGCCACAGGTTTAGGGTATGTCCTAATTTCAGAGAGTTTAGAATGTAAAAACGATGTTTATAACTTTGGATATTAGGAGAAATGCTTCCACCACTCCTCCTGTTTCTTTCCATTTAAAAATGAAATTCAATTAATATAATCCCTGACTTCTCTCTACTTGTATCCACTCTAGGGGCAACGAAGTAATTCCCCTTTGATTGGTAAATATTGAGAAGGAAACGCTGGGCATGCATGGCTTAGCAAGGCTCTTACTCTACTTTGGAAACTGAATGCCCGTAGATATTAAGTGTTGTCTGGTTTGGTGTAGCTATAAGGCTGGGTAGGTAGATCAGTGGGAGAGCACATGCCTAGCATGTGCAAGACCCCAGGTTCAATCCTCAGCACTGCAAAAGGTAAAAGAAGAAAGAAAAAAGTAAAGAAAGAAAGGCAAAGTAAATTTATAAAGGCCCCGTTTTTGGAAGTGGTCTAACACATTCTATAAATGAGTAAATACATCTAAATTTCAAATTTCACTACCACTCCCATTTGACCACAAACTAAGTTATGACTATATCACTATTATTAATATAAAAGTGGTATTTCACTTTCTACTATCTTTTGTTATTTCTTAATAGTTTCAGAATTCTGGAAAGAAAAATAGATGTTATTTAGTGGGTTTCTTCAAAATTCTACCATTCTACACTTAAATATTTTATTTCTTCTAAATTAAACATCTGCTTTCTGACTATACTTCTTTGAATGATATCAAACATGAACAAATCTCATTTGATCATTTATCTACCTAATGGTCTCTTGAGGCATCTTGGAAATTGATAAACTTTAGAAATCCATACCCTGGATCAAGACTTCCCAGAGGCATCAGAGACTGGATAAGTACATTTAGACCAGCTGTTTCCAGCAACTAATCAGAATATAGTTTTGCTGGCACATACAGTTCTTAATTCAAAATCATGACCTATTTATTCTTATTTGAAGAGGTGCTGGTGATCAGCGCAGGACCTTGTGCATGCCAGACAAGTGCTCTGCAACTGCGCCACAACACCAACCTGGAAAAAATCCAGCTTCTAATATCACATCTGCATCAGAGATATTAATGTTAGGCTAATATTTGCAGGTAAAAAGAAAGCAAAATAAACGTGTTGAGAATAACACTGAATCTGGGTCTGTAGCTTAGTGGTAGCACATGTGCTTCAGGAATGAGTATGGCCCCAGGGTTCAAACCCCAGCACCCAAAACAAAAGACTAACAGAAACACTACTCCTTTAATAAAGATCCTCTTCAAAATGTCACATGGTAGGGTTTCAAACAGAATAAAGAAATAGAATAAATATATCATCTTCATCAACAGTTTTCCTTCTAAGATAATAAAATCTAATCAAAATTAAATCACCATGGAGACATGTATAAAAGAAACCAGGTTATATTCTGTACTCCATGAACCGTAAGCATAACTTCCTATGCAATAAATACAAAAATAATTCATTATTCAACCCAATATGAACATATCTTTAAATTATACATATGAATTCAAAGAGATGATTTCCAATGTTTTATAAATATTGTGAAGTGCTATGATTTTTGGTATTCAAAAATTAAATTCAGACCTGATTAACCTAACTCCAGTTAAGCAAGTCCCTTCTTACAACATAATGAATGCATGATGTTCCTGCCCACCTGTATGCATTGGCCACAATGGGCTGCCCACTGGAGGGCTTTCTCTCCTCCTGCCATTACTTTAGGTCCCTGTCTGGCCCCAAACTGTCAAATGCCTTCCCAAAGTCTACAATTGCATTAACAGGAACTGTATAAGTAACCCATATGAACCTTAACATAGGACACGTCCAAGAGCCTTAGTGCTTTTTAATGCTTATGTAAATCTTTTTTAAATGGAGGGTCAGAGACCTATCTAGGCAGAATGTTATTAGAATTAGATGATAAAATATATGAAATTTCTTCGCAAACTTTCAAAACCCTAACAAATGTAAGGAATACTCTCTAGTGACAATAATGTGAGGAATAAAGACAAAAAATGAAATATAAAGCATAGAAGTCACATGAGTGATTTAAAGATTTGACTGTGAAGTTAATGACAGAACACGAGGCTGGAGACTAAATAATCATTTGACTTGGTCTAAATCCCTACTAGCTACAGAATGGCAACCTCTGATTCACTAAGTGGGATAAAGCTGAATCAAATGTGAAGTTTGGGCAAAAACTTCAACCCCAATACTGAGCCTCAACCCACGGCTGAAATTCCATCTACAGAATGCTGGTATTCTCTTATAGTTCCATCAAGTGTCAGCTATACTACATTTGACGTGATTTCCTCTTTACAAACCAGATATCCAAATCTTATAAATGGGTTCCCCCCAAAGCATACTTTGGAAACTTAGTCTCCAATTTAATAGTGTTGGAAGATAACACCTTTACCATGAGGGCTGTCATGAATGGATTAAAGCCATTATCTCAGGAGTAAACTGGTTATAAATTTCTGTTGGGACTTCTTTCTCTCACTCTCTCTTTGCTCTTCTACCAAGGTCAATGAGGTGGCAAGAAGTTCCTCCAGCTCCATGATCTTGGTCTTCCCAGCCTCCAGAACCATAAGTCAATAGGGTTCTGTTCATTATAGACTACTCAGTCTGCAGTGTTCTGTTATAGCAAGAAATAGACTAAGACACTAAAGTACCAATGAACAGCACCTATCCAGTGAAACTATTCTTGACAACAAAGCTGTCAGACAAAGTAAAGGCCAACGCCAGAGATTAAAAGGTCTGTGGGTCTCTACCCTCTGAGATCTAATCTAGCATTTCAGTATTCTGGTTGAGAAATAAAACTCACCTCTCCTCACATGCCTTCCCATAATCAAGTCATCTGGGAGCTACTGTCAGGATTTAAGAAGCATGCTGCTCAATGCTGAGAAGAGCATTCAACACGCCAGGACATCTCTCTCTTGCATTCATTGTGCTTAAAGTCTAATCTCAGCAGTGGAGGCCATGTGATCAGCACCAGAAAAAAATATTAATTACGATGGATGGTTGGGATGAAAGGGAATCTGAGAACAGCATTCCAAGTAGAACAGCACAGTGCAAAGGGAGGGAAGCAGTGCTCTGGTCATATTTCCTGCTTTTGGTCAGGATGAGAACGGTCTGACAGACTCTCCTGAGTGACTGGCAACCAGCACCAAGGCCATATGAACACTGAGTATGACAGCATCTTAGTGCTCCCAGGCTAGTTCCTTCCTTCAGAATTCATTTACTTCTCAGAAATTACCTTCAAAATTAATTTACTCTTTGATTCTCCCCAACTAGGATTTGCTGTCATTGATAATGAATATAGCCATCTCAATCAAACAAAAATAGAAAACCAAAGGCTCAGATAGAAATGGAAATAAATATTCTCCTTGAAGGACTTGTGTAAGATCCCAGATTTGTGGTGGTGTTTCAAAGAGATAATACATACAAGGGCACATATTACAGCATGTGATGTCCACTCTCTCTCAAGTAATGGTTGTGTACTCTTTTTTAAAAAAATTTTCAAACTGTTAAGGATCTAAGGGATCTCTCTCTCTCTCTCTCTCTCTCTCTCTCTCTCTCACACACACACACACACACACACACACACACACACTCATTACTGGATATAAACTAGAAAAAAA